GGAACTATGGCTATAGTTTACTTAATAACATAAAAGGGCTAGAATACAACATATCCTGATGGAAATTTACACAATATAACAATTGACCTATGAGACTTATTACCAGGGGGAAGGGTAGATGTTATCAGTAACACGGACTAGTACTCACTCTTAATTCACCGACCAGCTGACCCGAGATTCCCAATGCGTGGTCCACTACACACGCGGCTGTCCAGAGCTCTCACTCGACGGACCTGTCACCAACAACCTCTTTGCCCCGCTCTTCCCTGGGCTTATATCGTAGTCAAAGTACCCCCTCCCCAATGGTGTATGTACCACGTGTTACGACCTGACGCCGAGCTCTGACGCTGTTAAGAACAAAAGACCTCAGACGTGGGCGTGACTACCCGACATTTGCTAAGGCAGGTGTGACCATATAATTAGGTCTCCCTAGAGACCTCACAAGCCCATCTGAACTGCATCACACTCTCTCTCATTATCACTTTATCTCTCTCTTTATGTCCATGAATTTCTTTATTCATTGTTGTTGCTCGTGATTCGCCGGTACTCTCCCGGCCCGGGTCTTTTCCGAATAGTGACTCGGCTTTGGCTCCCTGTCTCGGGAGTTTCTTGAGACCTATGTGAGGTACAAGTACCTCCTCAGCTTCGGGACCAACTGTCCCCAGGCCTAACTCCATTCCCCGCCCCCATGGGGCTCGTTGGGAAAAGCTAGGCTTCTGGTCTGCCATCTGCCCCGCCCCAGGGGAAGCTCGTGGGAGTGGCAGCCGTGTGAGCTGCAGGTGTTAGTTAGTTTAATATGTTTATTATGCACCCCACACCCATCCTGTTGGCGGTAGTCAAAAGATTACAGAGGTACATAATGGGTCCAGGGACTGGGCCTCAAAGTTTTGATAGCTGAGCAAGTTACAAAGGTAATGAACTCACAATTTACAAAGGTAATGAACTCACAATTTACAAAGGTAATGAACTCCAGGTAGGTCTAGTCACAATCATGACAAGTTACAAAGGTATTTACAGATTACAGAGGTACGTAATGGATCCAGGGACTGGGCCCCCAAAGTTGTGATGGCTGAACTAGGTACAAGGTAATGAACTCACAAGTTACAAAGGTAATGAATTCTGTAGAATGGTTACTTACGTTTATACATGGCTACAATCATGAACAAATTATAGAGTAATGAGCAATTCACACTTCCACACCCGGTCACAACTGTAGTGAGTTATTGGTGCAAATATTGATTGTTGAGTCACACACACACACACACACACACACTCACAAACACACACACACACGCACACACACACACACACACACACACACACACACACACACACACACACACACACACACACACACACACACACACACACACACACACACACACACACACACATACACACACACACACACATACACACATACACACACAGGTGGTAGCAAGTTCTGGCTCTGGCACCATCCCCGCCCTAGGAGGGCTCATGGGAGTGGTGTCTTCTCCCTCTCTATTCACTTTACAAGCAAAGAGCTGTTATCTTCACCTCATCTACATGTTCCAACCTCCTAAAAACATGCAACATAACGTACGTAAACAAACAGGATGAAGTTGGAGCCAGGTGTAGGCCAGAACATTATTTTCGACAATTAACTTTACTCCTCTAATGTTCGTATGTGGTGAGAACACGCTGCTAGCAGGAATCACTCAAAGAGAACGAAATCATCACTGGAAATGTCCAGGGGAAGGGCACAGCCAGGCTAAAACTAACCTCCGGTTTCCAGTTGTGTGGTGTGACAGCTGTGTTGAAAATGGTACTAAATACCGACAAGTTGATGATTAAGACACATGTGCAACAGTTGGTTATCTTTATAGTTGAAACGTTTCACCTACACGGTGGGCTTCTTCAGTCAAATACAAAGGCAGTAGGTGTAGTAGTGAAATGAAGAGCATGTAATCAGTCTATCAACCTTGTAGAAATAGTGTTAGATGTGGTCAGGCCCTCGTCCAGGCTGAGGGACTGACCACTATTTCTACAAGGTTAATGGATTGATGGGACATGAATCACTAGAGACTAACATTGGCGGCTCCAGACGGTCTATACAGGAGAGGTTTAAGGATGTCAGTCTGGTAGGAAGGAGGGATAAGGGACTAGTCTTGAGGCGAGTTATTATCTTATTTGGAGGGACTGATGTTGATTACAAGGGGCTGCAGCATCCCCAACCTCTTGTATTGCCACTGATTGCTAGCAATGCTATTCATTCTTACACACAAGCTTCCTTGGTAACGTCATGCTGTTTAGTGACCATAATCGCCATTCTTGTTCTCCTAGAAGCACCTGTAACCGGCCACCACCTGACCCAGGGCATTATCACTGTTGGCAATATATGTGACTGGGAGCAGTGGACATCTTTGTTGCTCTAGTAAATGTTATAGATTTGTTATCTGCGTAGGAATGGGATTCTAGGATGAGCGCTACTCTAAGAGAGTGACCTAAAAGGCAGTCATTCAGATATAAATAAAAGTCACAAAGTGATTTTTCCAGGCTAAGGTACCATACCCAAAGGTACTCACACCAGGTAAAGGTACTCACACCAGGCAAAGGTACTCACACCAGGTAAAGGTACTCACACCAGGCGAAGGTACTCACACCAGGTAAAGGTACTCACACCAGGCAAAGGTACTCACGCCAGGCAAAAATACTCACACCAGGCAAAGGTACTCACACCAGGCAAAGATACTTACAATACTGAATACTATTCACAGCTGATTTTAAGATTATTTAATAAGTAGTGCCACACATTGGGGAGATAACAAAAGATAAGATGCTGATTTATCATTTCTTAAACTGAACTGATGGTCTTACAGTAGTGAAAGTTACTTATAAGATGCTTATCTGCTTTAATATTGTCTTAAGAATTTATCTATTTATTTGACAGAAAAGAAACTAGCTACAGTTGTTAGTCATTACTTCCTTCATTTTTTTTAATAAGGACAGCATAGTGCTCGTCCACAAAGACCATTTACACTGTTTATGAGACAGAAATAAATCAAGCTCATCTTGGGCTACCATCGTCTGGTCCCACAACTTTTTTCTGTAGCCAGGAATTTAAGGAACTATACCTCTGTCTTGCTGTAGTTACAACTCTTGCGGATAGTCAAGGAGAGTGACTATCTGGGTACGGTATTTACATCCACCAAGAAAAATTGTCTTCAAATACATTACCTTTTTAATGATTGCTGAAGTACTGTCTTCGTTCCTCCAGGTACCGCAAGAAGACGTCGGTTATAGCTGTGCATCCCCCATCCATACACTACAACCATCACAATGGTAAGATGAACCTTCAGCGCTTCACTGATCCTTCAACAGGGACTCCTTACTAAATTTTGCACAATATTTTTCTTGTTATGATGTAAATGGTTGCGAGTTTGCTTTCCACTCAACAAATCCATCATTGTCCTCCTAGTACTAATTGATACATTTTTCCTACAAACACATGCTGAATTAGATCTTATTCAAAATTCCTGTTGTTGTTTCAACAGCTTGTATTCCAACAGTTTTCTGGGTTTCACTTTGCAGGTCTTTTGTCAAGCGAAAGTTCTTTAACATCTAATAACACTTCACTCCCAGAAGCTCGTTTATCCAGTGAACAAGATTTGGTGTATAAGAATGTACAAGAAGTCTATGCGAACAAACAGGAAGAAGTGTATGAGAATGAACAGGAAGAAGTGTTTGAGAATGAAGTCCGTGAGGACGAACAAGAAGAAGTTCAATTCCCCGACCAAGACGTAACGACAGAAGTGATATACAGTAATGTCTCACAGAAGATCCCGAGGGCACAGGCTGAGACTTACTTAGCAAGGATCATCCATTCCCCGGGCATCGAGGAGGAGTTCAAGGTAAGCATTACAATTATAACCTGAGTTGTAACCTGTTAGGAACTATGTACGTATTTGGGATTTAAAGTGAATCAATAACAATAACAATGATACCAAGCATCATTAACGAGACTTCAGGGTGAGTCAGCCAATAAAAGTCTGATGTCACGCTGCTCAGGGGCACATCATTGAGACATCAGTGACACATCAGTTGAAGTTTGTGGCCTAGAGCTTAAAACAAGCCAAATATTTCCCATGGTTGTTTATCCGCTGACACCTCTTCCTTCTCCTCTCAGTGATATATTTTTGTTCAGTCTCCTAAACACAGTGTTCACTCCTCTGTCTTGCAAATATCCTTCTCCTTGCTGCCTCAAAAGTAGTTAAATCTTTTTTTTTTTTTTTTTTTTTTTGCAATTAAGAATTCTGTAAGTGCAGCAAATATTGTGATCGTGTTGCCGGTCACCAGTGCAGGTTCAGTATAGTTTCTTCTACTGGTGATTCCTCTTTTTATCTCATATTTCACCAACCTCACTTCCATGCGGCTTTGGAATTTTTTTTTTCTCCAAAAGTTGACACATGGCATCACCTACCCGGTATGGGCCAGTAGGCCTACTGCAGTGTTCCTCCTTTCTTATGTTCTTAAGTGCAGACTCTTCAAACCATCGATTTTTTCTGTTTTCCACTCTGATAGATCCACCAGACTATTGTAGATGATTTCTGCTACATCAGATGTGGTCCACATTTTGGGAATTTCATGCAATTATCTTCATAGATAACATTTACTTGAATTACGAAGATTCGTATCTGTTTATTTCATGTAACATAACGTAACATAAAAAATAGGTGTAGCAGCCGGAGGTGATGTCACAAGTGAGCGTGGCCCACTTCCAAAAAAAAAAAAAAACCGACCTTCCACACACACAAATCAAAAATTCACTGATGGACACAATGGACGTCCAAAAATTATATTTTTGGTGATGACTTACGTTGGGAAAATAAGAGAAAAAAAAATGTTGGTAATTAAAAGATCTATTGTGTAATAAATTACATTTTTCCAAAATTTATAAAAAATAAAAAAAAGTCTTCGTTATTTAGAGGAAATATTTAAGAGTATGGAAATATTCGTCTTCATTTGTTTTATATTTCAAAAATATGATATTATAAATATAAAAATTTGTTGAGAATTTATGTGGGCGAGCATTTATATGTATGTGATGTGTGTTTGGTCAGAGTGTTCCGGCCATCTTGGACAAGAGTTGCTCGCATGGTAAACTGCAAGACAACCTGAAGAAGAACAGATACCGAAACAACCTACCATGTGAGTGGACGCCCAGCAGAGGCTCCTGAGGGACGCCCAGCACAGGCTCCTGAGGGACGCCCAGCACAGGCTCCTGAGGGACGCCCAGCACAGGCTCCTGAGGGACGCCCAGCACAGGCTCCTGAGGGACGCCGCTCCAACAACACCACCAAGACAGCACAATGATGAAATGTTTCCCCTGCAGTCAGATACAAAGGGAGCAATAGGAATGAAATAAATGTGATGTAATCAGTCCATCAACCTTAGAGAAAAAGTGTTTGAGGTGGTCAGTCCCTCAGCCTGGAGAAAAGTTGAGCTCCATGGAACTGAACTCTGCTCCAGGCTAAGGAACTGACCACCTCAAAAACTTTTTGTCCAAGGTTGATAGACTGATTACATCTTTATTTCACTACTACACCTGCTCCCTCTATATTTGACTGAAGAAACCTAGTGTATAGGCGAAATATTTCATCAATAAAGATACCCAACTGTTACACATGTGTCTTAAGCTTCAACTCGTCGGCATTTTATACAATTTTCAACAATTCTCAGTTCTGTATTGTTTCCTTGCACTGACCACATCTTCGAACGCTGATTAAACAGACGGAGATGAGAGATGAATGAGACAGATGGGGATGAGAGAGATGAATGAGACAGATGGGGATGAGAGAGATGATGGACAGATGGGGATGAGAGAGATGAATGAGACAGATGGGGATGAGAGTGATGAATGAGACAGATTGGGGATGAGAGAGATGAATGAGACAGATGGGGATGAGAGAGATGAATGAGACAGATGGGGATGAGAGAGATGAATGAGACAGATGGGGATGAGAGAGATGAATGAGACAGATTGGGGATGAGAGAGATGAATGAGACAGATGGGGGATGAGAGAGAATGAATGAGACAGATGGGGATGAGAGAGATGAATGAGACAGATGGGGATGAGAGAGATGAATGAGACAGATGGGGATGAGAGAGATGAATGAGGCAGATGGGGATGAGAGAGATGAATGAGACAGATGGGGATTGAGAGAGATGAATGAGACAGATGGGGATGAGAGTGAATGAATGAGGCAGATGGGGATGGGAGGAGAGATGAATGAGGCAGATGGGGATGAGAGAGATGAATGAGACAGATGGGGATGAGAGAGATGAATGAGACAGATGGGGATGAGAGAGATGAATGAGACAGATGGGGATGAGAGAGGTGAATGAGACAGATGGGGATGAGAGAGGTGAATGAGACAGATGGGGATGAGAGAGGTGAATGAGACAGATGGGGATGAGAGAGGTGAATGAGACAGATGGGGATGAGAGGTGAATGAGACAGATGGGGATGAGAGGTGAATGAGCAGATGGGGATGAGAGAGTATGATGAGACAGATGGGGATGAGAGGTGAATGAGACAGATGGGGATGAGAGATGAATGAGACAGATGGGGATGAGAGAGATGAATGAGACAGATGGGGATGAGAGGTGAATGAGACAGATGGGGATGAGAGAGGTGAATGAGACAGATGGGGATGAGAGAGATGAATGAGACAGATGGGGATGAGAGAGGTGAATGAGACAGATGGGGATGAGAGAGATGAATGAGACAGATGGGGATGAGAGAGGTGAATGAGACAGATGGGGATGAGAGAGATGAATGAGACAGATGGGGATGAGAGAGATGAATGAGACAGATGGGGATGAGAGAGATGAATGAGACAGATGGGGATGAGAGAGATGAATGAGACAGATGGGGATGAGAGAGATGAATGAGACAGATGGGGATGAGAGAGATGAATGAGACAGATGGGGATGAAGGAGGTGAATGAGACAGATGGGGATGAGAGAGATGAATGAGACAGATGGGGATGAGAGAGATGAATGAGACAGATGGGGATGAGAGATGAATGAGACAGATGGGGATGAGAGAGATGAATGAGACAGATGGGGATGAGAGAGATGAATGAGACAGATGGGGATGAGAGGTGAATGAGACAGATGGGGATGAGGAGAGATGAATGAGACAGATGGGGATGAGAGAAATGAATGAGACAGATGGGGATGAGAGAGGTGAATGAGACAGATGGGGATGAGAGGTGAATGAGGACAGATGGGGATGAGAGAGGTGAATGAGACAGTGGGGATGAGAGAGGTGAATGAGACAGATGGGGATGAGAGAGGTGAATGAGACAGATGGGGATGAGAGAGATGAATGAGACAGATGGGGATGAGAGAGGTGAATGAGACAGATGGGGATGAGAGAGGTGAATGAGACAGATGGGGATGAGAGAGATGAATGAGACAGATGGGGATGAGAGAGATGAATGAGACAGATGGGGATGAGAGAGATGAATGAGACAGATGGGGATGAGAGAGATGAATGAGACAGATGGGGATGAGAGAGATGAATGAGACAGATGGGGATGAGAGAGATGAATGAGACAGATGGGGATGAGAGAGATGAATGAGACAGATGGGGATGAGAGAGATGAATGAGACAGATGGGGATGAGAGAGATGAATGAGGCGATGGGGATGAGAGAGATGAATGAGGACAGATGGGGATGAGAGAGATGAATGAGACAGATGGGGATGAGAGAGATGAATGGACAGATGGGATGAGAGAGATGAATGAGACAGATGGGGATGAGAGAGGTGAATGAGACAGATGGGGATGAGAGAGGTGAATGAGACAGATGGGGATGAGAGAGATGAATGAGACAGATGGGGATGAGAGAGGTGAATGAGACAGATGGGGATGAGAGAGATGAATGAGACATGGAGGTAGAGGATGCTGCTCTTGTTTTATTCTCATCTCATCAAAGTCTTTCAATGAACTTTTATTGGATTTATTAACCTAGTTTTAGTGAAGCTCAGAAAGCAGCGTCACTTGAGGCAGTAACTTTTGGTAGTTTTAAATATATAGGCTGGACGGGTGTGAGTCAGACCAGCAGGCCAGTAGGTCTACTGCAGTGTTCCTTCGTTCTTGTGTTCTTTCTTTTAACATAGAAATTTTATGGGGCCCTAAAACTTACTAAACATCAAATAGGGGATCATTATTTTTCATAAATAAATTGGGGGGACTGAATTTCTTAAAACTAGACACCAGCTCCCGCTTCACACACGGAGGGCCCGGGTTCGATTCCCGGCGGGTGGAAACATTTCGACACGTTTCCTTACACCTGTTGTCCTGTTCACCTAGCAGCAAATAGGTACCTGGGTGTTAGTCGACTGGTGTGGGTCGCATCCTGGGGGACAAGATTAAGGACCCCAATGGAAATAAGTTAGACAGTCCTCGATGACGCACTGACTTTCTTGGGTTATCCTGGGTGGCTAACCCTCCGGGGTTAAAAATCCGAACAAAATCTTATCTTATCTTATCTTATCTTATCTTAATACTGTCAAGATGAATAATTGGACACAGACGTTGCACTTGTGTTTAATTCTTTACATTCAGTTGATCTAGGCACCATCACTGCCGAGGTGCCAGTTTCCTTCAAGCTGTGGCTTGACTTGGCACTGATGTTCCACTAATACTCTGTCTTGCAGATGATGACACCAGAGTGAAGCTGCCTCTCATCAACGACCTCCCTCACTCAGACTACATCAACGCTAACTACGTCCAGGTACACAGCTAAAATTTTTCATTATTTACGTGTAATAATATTCGTAGAAATACTGACAATATGTTAGGCAAAAGGACACAGGTGCATCTAATGTGGCATTTTATTGTGGTAGTTTCTCTCTCCAGGGGCTTTGTCTAGCCGTTACCGGCTTGACAAAGCCGGTAACAGCTTGACAGGATTGGATTATATATTTATAATTGACGGATTATAGAACATGGGTACTCACAAAGGCGAGATTTGATATTCCACATATACTGAGGCACGTGGCGCGATCCCTGGTAAGGGTAGAAACATTAGAACATGTTCCCTTGAGACACCTGCTGTCCCTGTTCACCTAACAGTAAAATATGTACCTGGGGTGTTAGTCAACTGGTGTGGGTCGCATCCTGTGGAAAAATAACTTAAATTGCCCAAAAATGCTCTGCATAACAAGCGGTTTTCTATATAGTTGTATGTCTGTGTACCTTGTACATGTGATTGTAGAAATAAATATTATTATTATTATTATTATTATTATTATTATTATTATTATTATTATTATTATTATTATTATTATTATTATTATTATTATTATTATTAAATATCATTGTGGGTGCCCTTGCAGGGTCACACGCGGGCAGAGGCGTTCATCGCTACACAAGGACCCAAAGACTTCAACGCTGACACCGTCGGTGACTTCTGGAGGATGATCTGGCACACTCGCTGCTCTCTCATTGTTATGGTTGCCAGCCTCATGGAGAATGGCAAGGTGAGTCCGCCTGGTCGACTGGACGTAAATCTGACTTTTTTTTTTTTAAATAATCTGGCCTGTGAATTTCATGGGTTCAAGCCCCACCCGTTCCATGGTTAGTCTGACCTTTATTAAGGGGGTTGTCCCAGATAATTTACACGTAAGGTACCATGTAAGACAGGTACCTAACTGTTGCACATGTCTTACGTATCAACCTGTTGGTATTGTATACAGAGGCACATAATATAAAAACCAGGGGTGCCAGATAATACCCTGGTGTACGACGCAAGCTTACAGGTGCCAGCAAACTTCCAATGGCACTTAGGGTGTTCCGTAGCTTGACTGCTAGCGCACTCAACTCACACACTGAGGTCCAGGGTTCGCATCTCCGGTACGGACGGAAAACATTAGGGACGTGTTCCCATAAGACACCTGTTGTCCATGTTCATCCATCAGTATAAAATGCGTACCTGGGTGTTAGTGGACTGGTGTGGGTCGCATCCTGGGACAAAACTGACCTAATTTGCCCGAAATGCTCTGCATAACAAGTGGCTTTCTATATAGTAGTATGTCACTGATGTCAGCTAGGACTGTATACCTTGTACATGTACTTGTAGTAATAAAGATATTATTATTATTATTATTATTATTATTATTATTATTATTATTATTATTATTATTATTATTATTATTATTATTATTATTATTATTATTAAGTGCCTCTCTGTTGCACTGACTGACTTCATCAACGTCAGTCTCACAGACTGCAATAAAGTTAACAATTTGTTGTTTGCAGGTGAAGGTGGCTCGTTACTGGCCCGAGGGTGAGCAGTTATTACACAAGGATGACCTACAGGTCAAACTCATCTCCACTGAAGTCAAGGTCAGTTGATCGTGTATAAGTATTACATTTATGTACAAGCACTAGACCCATACGGGTCATACAGTGTTTGGAGATGTAGGGAAAATTAGGTTTAATAAGGCAAATGGGAGAGTAGCTCCAAGCTCATGGATCAAGAGGCCTTCATCAGCATCGAGGCACATACATATAGAGTTAATGGAGGTAGGTTCTGTACACAGTTTTAAGAGCAGGTACGATAGGGCCTACGAGGCTAGGAGGCAGTGAGTCCGACAAGTTGTAAATTGAAAGGCGGGGCCAGGAGCAAGGACTCGACCCCTGCAACCACATATAGATAAGCACATTATAAGTTACAGTAGGCAGATTGTAGATAATTTAGACACATGTGAAACACTTGGGTAGCTTTATTATGGAAACGTTTCGCCACACAGTGACTTCATCAGTCCTTTACACAGGGAGAATGGTGAAGATTAGAAGGAGTTTGAGGTAATCAGTCCAGGATGAGGGACTGATTACCTCAAACTCCTGATCTTCATCATTCTCCCTTTATATAAGACTGATGAAGCCCCTGTGGGGGCGAAACGTTTCCACAATAAAGATACCCACGTGTTGCACATGTGTCTCATTTATCAGTAGATAGATTCTATCACACAAAGTCTACTATCACATATAATTTCTCTCACATTATATATCACATTTATATATAATGAAATACGATACACAGAATACTAAACATCTGTTAATATAATGATTTCTTCTCTCTGTCAGATGGACTTCATCATACGTACGCTGCAAATTTCCAAAGATAAGGAAACGAGAGAGGTGAGTGAATGACTGTGAGGAAATGAGAGCTGAGTAATTATACGTGAGGAAATGGTGAGTAAATGTACATGAGGAGGTGAGATGATAATGGTTTTATGTTGGGTGAGTGAATGTGAGTGAGGGGAGAGGAGAATCACATGAGAACTGTTATGATTGTGGGGGTAATAAAAGGCCAAGTAGTAACAACAACACTGTACACCATGAAGGTCCCCGCATAACAACACAAAAACAAAAGACGATCAAGCATAACCAAAATAATAGGATTTAATTCTCTCCCTGCTCCCAACACCTTACAAGAACACTCGAGTACAGTTACCCACCAAATAACTTCTCTCTCTCCCTTGATCTCCCACGTCATTAATATATTATACGAGTTGCATCTTGTGGGCGTTCACCTCTGCGTTCGTGCACCTGCACAGGTGCGGCACTACCAGTACACGTCGTGGCCAGATCATGGAGTGCCGCAGAATCCCTATGGACTGGCCCAGATGATCAACAACCTGACCTTGGAGGCCACCACTGGCCCTGTTACGGTTCACTGCAGGTATGATCTCTTACACACCCCTTTGTAAGTATGGCTACCTGTACACGTTTGTACAGGTGTGGCCACCTTTGCCCACCTGCAACAGAAAATAAGCAGTTGCACATAAAACTTACAGGTGATAACGGTAATGATATTTACTCTCAGATAACAACCAGGTGTTGTAACACCATCTTACAGGTGTTGTAGCACCAGCTTACAGGTGTTGTGGCACCAGCTTACAGGTGTTGTGGCACCAGCTTACAGGTGTTGTACCACCAGCTTACAGGTGCTGTACCACCAGCTTACAGGTGCTGTACCACCAGCTTACAGGTGTTGTACCATCAGCTTACAGGTGCTGTACCACCAGCTTACAGGTGCTGTACCACCAGCTTACAGGTGTTGTGGCACCAGCTTACAGGTGCTGTACCAACAGCTTACAGGTGTTGTACCACCAGCTTACAGGTGCTGTACCACCAGCTTACAGGTGTTGTACCACCAGCTTACAGGTGCTGTACCACTAGCTTACAGATGCTGTACCACTAGCTTACAGGTGTTGTACCACCAGCTTACAGGTGCTGTACCACCAGCTTACAGGTGCTGTACCACCAGCTTACAGGTGTTGTGGCACCAGCTTACAGATGTCACCATCTTACACTCATAAACATATGCAGGGATAACTATTTATTTTTTTTTATTTTTTTATGCTGATTTGCAGTAGTGACATTGGTAGAATATTTAATGCGCATTAGTGATATGTTTTGTTTTCCGAAATGTTTTATCTTGTGTCTTGACATGTTGGACAGAACTGGGTAAGATTTTGCCACCGAAGTGGCTAGTTTATTGTGCACCCCATATCCATTCTGTGGAGGGTAGCGCAAGAGCATATGGATACACAAAAGGCCTAGTAGGAACTAGGCCCCAAAAGGGTTAACAGGTGAGCTGAAAGTGTGAATATTTCTCTCTCTCTCCCACAGTGCTGGGATCGGGAGGACGGGGACAGTGTTGTTGGTGCTGTTGATGCTGGACCAGCTCAATACCAGTGGTTACATTGACCCACACTTGGCCCTGGTTCACCTGAGGGAGGGACGACCGAGACTGGTGGAGAATACGGTGAGTTATGTTCATCTAGTCACTCTAGTGGGTGAAGGTGAAGTGCTTTCATGTAATGGGTGATGGTGGTGAGTCACCTTCACCTAGTAGATTGCATTGGGTTACATTAACATAGTACATGGCGTTGATGGGGGTACTAAAGCAGTGTCACTGTTACAGGCGCAGTACACCTTTGGTCACCAGGTGTTGCTGGAAGTGTTGTCGGGGGTCACCACCAGCTACAAGTGCAGTAACTTCCCCGAGGCGTTGGAGGTCCTGCGTCTCCCTCAACCTCCCTCCAACACATCCATCATGCACCAACAGTTCCAGGTAAGCTACGCAGTCTCCATCGACAGCAACATCACAGATACCAGTCATCGTGAACCTCCTTCACCTCTTAATATCTCAACGCACAATTTCTTACACTAGGTATCCGCTTGTTAAGATAATCTTTTGAGTGTTTTCTTTTTTCCATTACTATACTCTTAAGTATAGTAGTGGAAAAAAGTAGTAATACACTGTTTTCTAAATACACTTCGTCGACTCTCTTGCTGGTACAATATTTCCTGTTCTGGAGTTTCTGTAAGACTTTAAAATTTAGAAGGAACCTACCCTGTCACCTGTCTGAACACTGATAACACCTTTGATTAACAATTCTTTCTTTATGGTTCCAATATAGTAGGATGAAAAGATACTCTTTTAAAGAATTTACCTATAAATTGGTTCATCAGTGTTCTAGAACCAGGCCACCTTATTACATTGGTGTTTTAATACCTTAATGGTATCGTTTGCCGTACTTGATATTCGGTTTAGGAAGAACCAAATAAGTATTTTTAATATTTTCCCCCACAACATAATTTCTTTGGCATTCATTGCAGAAGTTGAAAAACTTGCCAAAGGATATGAGTTTTAAGTTTGGGAAGAACCCAGCTTGTGCCCACCTTAACAGAAGCCAAGACATTCTACCAGGTAAATTGTAAACTAACCTAAGAACACCTGAACAAGAGACACTATTATCTAATTTAAATAATGATTTTTCATAATAAATATAACTTATACTAAGGCAATAACACTACCAATAATGGAATGTCATTTTGTATACAGCAGACAACAGGATGGTGTTCCTGCAAAACTTCGGTGACAACCTGGAGTCCCAGTACATCAACGTGGTCAGGGTTAATGGTATGGACATGAAGGTACGTCAAGGGGGTAATTATATATATATATATAATATATATTATATATATATATATATATATATATATATTATGTTCAGGGAAAAATAATTCTATGGGTTTATATATTTGTACATAATTTTCTAGGGTATTTTCTATTTTTTTTACTGAATGTGAGTTTAATACAAATATATAAGTACCGTTATAGTGTTATACATGTCATTATACATTTATGATAAATTTCAGAGAAATAATACACATAAAGAAAATCATATATGTTATTAAAAAATAAATGGCTGTAATGACTGAGTCTGATTTCCAGACTCACAGTCAAGGCTGATCTTGTGATCTTTTCATTCCCAGATTCAGTTATTAAATTATGAAACGCAAAAGAAAAAAATTCAAAACACATGATTTCTTTATTACATTTGAATTAACATTTTGAGGGAATAATTGTGTGCAGCCAGCAGTAACAGCCTGGTTGATCAGACCCTGATCCATCAGGAGGCCTGGTCACAGACTGGGCCTGCAGGGGTGTTGATCCTGAAACCCTCTACAGATATACTGCAGGTATTAGTCTGGTGAAAAGTAAGATCATGGATCCCACCGCTGCCACCAGTGGACAACACTGCCTACCCACCGCTGCCACCAGTGGACAACACTGCCTACCCACCGCTGCCACCAGTGGACAACACTGCCTACCCACCGCTGCCACCAGTGGACAACACTGCCTACCCACCGCTGCCACCAGTGGACAACACTGCCTACCCACCGCTGCCACCAGTGGACAACACTGCCTACCCACCGCTGCCACCAGTGGACAACACTGCCTACCCACCGCTGCCACCAGTGGACAACACTGCCTACCCACCACTGCCACCAGTGGACAACACTGCCTACCCACCGCTGCCACCAGTGGACAACACTGCCTACCCACCGCTGCCACCAGTGGACAACACTGCTACCCACCGCTGCCACCAGTGGACAACACTGCCTACCCACCACTGCCACCAGTGGACAACACTGCCTACCCACCGCTGCCACCAGTGGACAACACTGCCTACCCACCACTGCCACCAGTGGACAACACTGCCTACCCACCGCTGCCACCAGTGGACAACACTGCCTACCCACCACTGCCACCAGTGGACAACACTGCCTACCCACCACTGCCACCAGTGGACAACGCTGTCCTACCCACCGCTGCCACCAGTGGACAACACTGCCTACCCACCCTGCCACCAGTGGACAACACTGCCTACCCACCACTGCCACCAGTGGACAACACTGTCTACCCACCGCTGCCACCAGTGGACAACACTGCCTACCCACCGCTGCCACCAGTGGACAACACTGCCTACCCACCGCTGCCACCAGTGGACAACACTGCCTACCCACCGCTGCCACCAGTGGACAACGCTGTCTACCCACCGCTGCCACCAGTGGACAACACTGCCTACCCACCGCTGCCACCAGTGGACAACACTGCCTACCCACCGCTGCCACCAGTGGACACACGCTGTCTACCCACCGCTGCCACCAGTGGACAACACTGCCTACCCACCACTGCCACCAGTGGACAACACTGCCTACCCACCACTGCCACCAGTGGACAACACTGTCTACCCACCGCTGCCACCAGTGGACAACACTGCCTACCCACCACTGCCACCAGTGGACAACACTGTCTACCCACCGCTGCCACCAGTGGACAACACTGCCTACCCACCACTGCCACCAGTGGACAACACTGCCTACCCACCACTGCCACCAGTGGACAACACTGTCCTACCCACCGCTGCCACCAGTGGACAACACTGCCTACCCACCACTGCCACCAGTGGACAACACTGTCTACCCACCGCTGCCACCAGTGGACAACACTGCCTACCCACCACTGCCACCAGTGGACAACACTGCCTACCCACCGCTGCCACCAGTGGACAACACTGCCTACCCACCGCTGCCACCAGTGGACAACGCTGTCTACCCACCGCTGCCACCAGTGGACAACACTGCCTACCCACCGCTGCCACCAGTGGACAACACAGCCTACCCACTGCTGCCACCAGTGGACAACACTGCCTACCCACCGCTGCCACCAGTGGACAACACTGCCTACCCACCGCTGCCACCAGTGGACAACGCTGTCCTACCCACCGCTGCCACCAGTGGACAACACTGCCTTACCCACCGCTGCCACCAGTGGACAACACTGCCTACCCACCGCTGCCACCAGTGGACAACACTGCCTACCCACCGCTGCCACCAGTGGACAACACTGCCTACCCACCGCTGCCACCAGTGGACAACACGCCTACCCACCGCTGCCACCAGTGGACAACACTGCCTACCCACCCTGCCACCAGTGGACAACACTGCTACCCACCGCTGCCACCATGGACAACACTGCCTACCCACCGCTGCCACCAGTGGACAACACTGCCTACCCACCGCTGCCACCAGTGGACAACACTGCCTACCCACCGCTGCCACCAGTGGACAACACTGCTTACCCACCGCTGCCACCAGTGGACAACACTGCTACCCACCGCTGCCACCAGTGGACAACACTGCTTACCCACCGCTGCCACCAGTGGACAACACTGCCTACCCACCGCTGCCACCAGTGGACAACACAGCCTACCCACCGCTGCCACCAGTGGACAACACTGCCTACCCACCACTGCCACCAGTGGACAACACTGCCTACCCACCGCTGCCACCAGTGGACAACACTGCCTACCCACCGCTGCCACCAGTGGACAACACTGCCTACCCACCGCTGCCACCAGTGGACAACACTGCTTACCCACCGCTGCCACCAGTGGACAACACTGCCTACCCACCGCTGCCACCAGTGGACAACACTGCTTACCCACCGCTGCCACCAGTGGACAACACAGCCTACCCACCGCTGCCACCAGTGGACAACACTGCCTACCCACCGCTGCCACCAGTGGACAACACTGCCTACCCACCGCTGCCACCAGTGGACAACACTGCCTACCCACCACTGCCACCAGTGGACAACACTGCCTACCCACCACTGCTACCAGTGGACAACACAGCCTACCCACTGCTGCCACCAGTGGACAACACTGCCTACCCACCACTGCCACCAGTGGACAACACTGCCTACCCACCGCTGCCACCAGTGGACAACACTGCCTACCCACCACTGCCACCAGTGGACAACACTGCCTACCCACCGCTGCCACCAGTGGACAACACTGCCTACCCACCGCTGCCACCAGTGGACAACGCTGCCTACCCACCGCTGCCACCAGTGGACAACACTGTCTACCCACCGCTGCCACCAGTGGACAACGCTGTCTACCCACCGCTTCCACCAGTGGACAATACTGCCTACCCACCGCTTCCACCAGTGTACAACACTGCCTACCCACCGCTGCCACCAGTGGACAACACTGCCTACCCACCGCTGCCACCAGTGGACAACACTGCCTACCCACCGCTGCCACCAGTGGACAACACTGTCTACCCACACTGCACCAGTGGACAACACAGTCTACCACCGCGCCCAGTGGACAACACTGCCTACCCACCGCTGCCACCAGTGGACAACACTGCCTACCCACTGCTGCCACCAGTGGACAACACTCCCTACACACCACTGCCACCAGTGGACAACACTGCCTACCCACCACTGCTACCAGTGGACAACACAGCCTACCCACTGCTGCCACCAGTGGACAACACTGCCTACCCACCACTGCCACCAGTGGACAACACTGCCTACCCACCACTGCCACCAGTGGACAACACTGCCTACCCACCGCTGCCACCAGTGGACAATACTGCCTACCCACCGCTGCCACCAGTGGACAACACAGCCTACCCACCGCTGCCACCAGTGGACAACACTGCCTACCCACCGCTGCCACCAGTGGACAACACTGCCTACCCACCACTGCCACCAGTGGACAATACTGCCTACCCACCGCTGCCACCAGTGGAAAATACTGCCTACCCACCGCTGCCACCAGTGGACAACGCTGTCTACCCACCGCTGCCACCAGTGGACAACACTGCCTACCCATAGCTGCCACCAGTGGACAATACTGCCTACCCACCGCTGCCACCAGTGGACAACACTGCCTACCCACCGCTGCCACCAGTGGACAACACTGCCTACCCACCGCTGCCACCAGTGGACAATACTGCCTACCCACCGCTGCCACCAGTGGACAACACTACCTACCCACCGCTGCCACCAGTGGACAACACTGCCTACCCACCGCTGCCACCAGTGGACAACACTGTCTACCCACCACTGCCACCAGTGGACAACACTGCCTACACACCACTGCCACCAGTGGACAACACAGCCTACCCACTGCTGCCACCAGTGGACAACACTGCCTACCCACCACTGCCACCAGTGGACAACACTGCCTACCCACCACTGCCACCAGTGGACAACACTGCCTACCCATCACTGCCACCAGTGGACAATACTGCCTACCCACCGCTGCCACCAGTGGACAACGCTGTCTACCCACCGCTGCCACCAGTGGGCAACACTGCCTACCCACCGCTGCCACCAGTGGACAACACTGTCTACCCACCACTGCCACCAGTGGACAACACTGCCTACACACCACTGCCACCAGTGGACAACACAGCCTACCCACTGCTGCCACCAGTGGACAACACTGCCTACCCACCACTGCCACCAGTGGACAACACTGCCTACCCACCACTGCCACCAGTGGACAATACTGCCTACCCACCGCTGCCACCAGTGGACAATACTGCCTACCCACCGCTGCCACCAGTGGACAACACAGCCTACCCACCGCTGCCACCAGTGGACAACACTGCCTACCCACCACTGCCACCAGTGGACAATACTGCCTACCCACCGCTGCCACCAGTGGACAACACTGCCTACCCACCGCTGCCACCAGTGGACAAAGCTGTCTACCCACCGCTGCCACCAGTGGACAACACTGTCTACCCACCACTGCCACCAGTGGACAACACTGCCTACCCACCGCTGCCACCAGTGGACAACACTGCCTACCCACCACTGCCACCAGTGGACAACACTGCCTAGCCACCACTGCCACCAGTGGACAATACTGCCTACCCACCGCTGCCACCAGTGGACAACACAGCCTACCCACCGCTGCCACCAGTGGACAATACTGCCTACCCACCGCTGCCACCAGTGGACAACGCTGTCTACCCACCGCTGCCACCAGTGGACAACACTGCCTACCCACCGCTGCCACCAGTGGACAACACTGCCTACCCACCGCTGCCACCAGTGGACAACACTGCCTACCCACCGCTGCCACCAGTGGACAACCTGCCTACCCACTCACTGCCACCAGTGGACAACAAGCCACTACCGCTGCCACCAGTGGACAACTGCCTACCCACCGCTGCCACCAGTGGACAACACTGCCTACCCACCGCTGCCACCAGTGGACAACACTGCCTACCCACCACTGCCACCAGTGGACAACACTGCCTACCCACCGCTGCCACCAGTGGACAACACTGCCTACCCACCGCTGCCACCAGTGGACAACACTGCCTACCCACCACTGCCACCAGTGGACAACACTCTCTACCCACCGCTGCCACCAGTGGACAACACTGCCTACCCACCACTGCCACCAGTGGACAACACTGTCTACCCACCGCTGCCACCAGTGGACAACACTGCCTACCCACCGCTGCCACCAGTGGACAACACTGCCTACCCACCCTGCCACCAGTGGACAACACTGCCTACCCACCACTGCCACCAGTGGACAACACTGCCTACCCACCACTGCCACCAGTGGACAACACTGTCTACCCACCACTGCCACCAGTGGACAACACTGCCTACCCACCGCTGCCACCAGTGGACAACACTGCCTACCCACCACTGCCACCAGTGGACAACACTGCCTACCCACCGCTGCCACCAGTGGACAACACTGCCTACCCACCCTGCCACCAGTGGACAACACTGCCTACCCACCGCTGCCACCAGTGGACAACACTGCCTACCCACCGCTGCCACCAGTGGACAACACTGCCTACCCACCAGCTGCCACCAGTGGACAACACTGCCTACCCACCACTGCCACCAGTGGACAACACTGCCTACCCACCCTGCCACCAGTGGACAACACTGCCTACCCACCACTGCCACCAGTGGACAACACTGCCTACCCACCACTGCCACCAGTGGACAACACTGCCTACCCACCGCTGCCACCAGTGGACAACACTGCCTACCCACCACTGCCACCAGTGGACAACACTGCCTACCCACCACTGCCACCAGTGGACAACACTGCCTACCCACCACTGCCACCAGTGGACAACACTGCCTACCCACCACTGCCACCAGTGGACAACACTGCCTACCCACCGCTGCCACCAGTGGACAACACTGCCTACCCACCGCTGCCACCAGTGGAACACTGCCACCACGCTGCCACCAGTGACACACTGCCTACCCACCACTGCCACCAGTGGACAACACTGCCTACCCACCGCTGCCACCAGTGGACAACACTGCCTACCCACCACTGCCACCAGTGGACAACACTGCCTACCCACCACTGCCACCAGTGGACAACACTGCCTACCCACCACTGCCACCAGTGGACAACACTGCCTACCCACCCTGCCACCAGTGGACAACACTGCCTACCCACCACTGCCACCAGTGGACAACACTGCCTACCCACCACTGCCACCAGTGGACAACACTGCCTACCCACCACTGCCACCAGTGGACAACACTGCCTACCCACCACTGCCACCAGTGGACAACACTGCCTACCCACCACTGCCACCAGTGGACAACACTGCCTACCCACCGCTGCCACCAGTGGACAACACTGCCTACCCACGCTGCCACCAGTGGACAACACTGCCTACCCACCACTGCCACCAGTGGACAACACTGCCTACCCACCACTGCCACCAGTGGACAACACTGCCTACCCACCACTGCCACCAGTGGACAACACTGCCTACCCACCACTGCCACCAGTGGACAACACTGCCTACCCACCACTGCCACCAGTGGACAACACTGCCTACCCACCACTGCCACCAGTGGACAACACTGCCTACCCACCGCTGCCACCAGTGGACAACACTGCCTACCCACCATCTGAAACCAGTGAAACATACTGCCTACCCACTGCCACCAGTATGAACAACATGCACTACCCACACGCCACAGTGGACAAAACTGCCTACCCAACCATGCCACAGTGGACAACACTGCTACCCACCACTGCCACCAGTGGACAACACTGCCTACCCACCGCTGCCACCAGTGGACAACACTGCCTACCCACCGCTGCCACCAGTGGACAACACTGCCTACCCAAGTTAAAACACAGTAGTATAACAGTACTTATATATCTGTATTAAACTCATGTTCAGTAAAAAAAAATAGAAAATACTTTAGAAAATTATGTAAAATATACGAAAACACAAACCCATTAGTGCAATATAAGATTAAAAAAAGGGAAAACATATCCATTTATTTTCACACAAAAAAATCACAGTTGGAAAAGACAATGGAGAGATTATAGAGATGCAAAAATCAGAGATACCACAAAAACTTCAAATTGTAATTAAGTTTGTAAGAGGCCCGTGTTGCTCTCAACTAAGAAATAGAAATACTGTACTTGCTCTGAAGTTCAGAACTCAAGATGCTTAAAACTTGGTACCTGCAGCTCACAAGACTGCCATCCCCACGAGCCCCTTTGGGGCGGGGCAGATGGCAGACCAGAGGCCTAGCTTCTCCCTACGAGCCCCGTGATGGCGGGGAATGTGGCTAGGCCTGGGGACACTTGGTCCAAAAGATGAAGGGGTTCTTGTACCTGCTCCGATAGGAGACTTAGGTCTCGAGACACTCACCAGATAGGGAGCCAAGGCCGGGTCACCACTCTTGGAAAAGACCCGGCCGGGAGAATACCGGCGAATTAAAAAAAAGTATATATTATATATATTATATATATATATATATATATATATATATAATATATATATATATATATATATATATATATATATTATATATATATATATATATAATATATATATATATATATATATATATATTGCTAACCATACCATATAATGACACGTAATATTTTTGACATTTGCAATAGTATGTCGTATATGTGATTATGTGCATTAAACGTACAGAATGCTTACCTTGCTGGAGAGCATCCACAACAACACACACTGGACAGTATCTGGCGTCTGGTGTACGAGAGACGAGTACCACTCTGGGTAGTCATCCATACTTTGCCTCAAAACCACCCAGTATGTATTAATAATAATTTATTTTCGCAAAGCATTAGGTGGTTAATTTTTTGAAAGCCCCATAGTTGACCTTCAGCACTTTTCTTCAACATCACTAACACTGTAACTGTACTGTTAATGTTAATGTAAATAGCTTAGTTTACCTTATTCCTAGTATTTCTCCTTTTATTGTAAATGATTTTAACACAATTGAGTTACTTAGCTGTTTTAACTTTTAAGGTTTAAATAATAAGATACTACAAGGACCCTAATGGAAATAACTCACTTTGTCTGACTTTATGGGTTATCCTAGGTAATTTGCACATATCTTACTATGTAAGTACGTTTATTTAAGTACAAGTACACATAAATAGTTACACAAATTATCATACATAGTAACATGTGTAGATTACCTAGGATAACCCCCCCCCAAAAAGTCAAAAGTGACTAATTTGCATAACTATTTATATATACCTGTACCTAAACTTACTAAAGAGCTATCGTGGCTAACAATAACATTATTGTGTTGCTAGGACTACCCTGACGTAGTCCCGAGCGAGGAGTGGCAGACTATCAGCAACATGAAGATCAGACTCACTGGTCAGCAGGCCTTCAACAACTTCACTGAGTACTACGTACAAATCACTGTGCCCAAGTCAGTAAGTTGACAATACTAGGGACCAGTTGAGGATTAAGGATTTTATTTTGCATAGTTTGCAATGTGTAATTACAATCTTGATTTGGTAGGTACAAAGACATCCACTATCATGCAGGGGCATTGGTCTCAGTAAGTTCAGAAAATAGCGGGCTTTTAGTCAGCTGAAAGTATAATGGTTCGTGACTGATACGTTCACTATTGGTCTAACAATTGATTCAGTATTAACAAATTAATATTTAATTACAGATTATTTTTGCCATTTAAATGGTATAATTTTCATTGCATTTAATTGTGACTTGTTACGAAGTGATGGGCTGACGTTCATGGACAATAATTATTTTGTTAGGTACACAAACAACCCGCACATGTGAGAGAAACATAAGGCGACGCTTCGGTCTGACCTGGACCAATAATTAGTCATACCTGTGACTAGTTAATGGGCCAAGTCAGACCGAAACGTCGTCATAATTACATTCTCCTGCGTGTGAGTTACTTGCTTATGATTCCATTTACGGTACTGTGCCTTTTTATTCTCTACTGTGTCCTTTGACAGCGAGTTCCAGCGCCCCATACATGCGTGTTGTTGTTGATGGAAGGTTGGCCCTACACTGACCCGCTGCCAGCTTCCCCTGATCCCCTGCTGGGCGTCGTGGAGAGAGTAGCATCCCTTGGCACCGGACACAGTGCCAGCCTCTTCACCTGCAAGTAAGTCACTCGGTCTTGTACTCTGTGTTCTAGTGCAGTCTGCTGAGCACCGTAGTAAACACTGATTCGGTAGAGTGAGGATGATTATGCTGGTATATTTGGTCTGATGGCTAACACTGTGTGGCAGGGATGGTGTGACGGGGTGTGGGGTCATGATGGCGTTGTTACACCTGGTGGCCAGGATCCAGCTGCTACAGGAGGTGGACGTGTATCGTGTTGTGCTCAACATTATCTACGACAGACCACAATTCATCACAACTATCGTAAGTTATGACTGGAGGAGACAGTTTTTGTTATGACTGGAGTAGACAGTTTTAGTTATGACTGGAGGAGACAGTTTTAGTTATGACTGGAGGAGACAGTTTTTGTTATGACTGGAGGAGACAGTTTTAGTTATGACTGGAGGAGACAGTTTTTGTTATGACTGGAGGAGACAGTTTTAGTTATGACTGGAGGAGACAGTTTTAGTTATGACTGGAGGAGACAGTTTTAGTTATGACTGGAGGAGACAGTTTTAGTTATGACTGGAGGAGACAGTTTTAGTTATGACTGGAGGAGACAGTTTTAGTTATGACTGGAGGAGACAGTTTTAGTTATGACTGGAGGAGACAGTTTTAGTTATGACTGGAGGAGACAGTTTTAGTTATGACTGGAGGAGACAGTTTTAGTTATGACTGGAGGAGACAGTTTTAGTTATGACTGGAGGAGACAGTTTTAGTTATGACTGGAGGAGACAGTTTTAGTTATGACTGGAGGAGACAGTTTTAGTTATGACTGGAGGAGACAGTTTTAGTTATGACTGGAGGAGACAGTTTTAGTTATGACTGGAGGAGACAGTTTTAGTTATGACTGGAGGAAACAGTTTTAGTTATGACAAAAAAAATAGAAAATATCATCCAGTGTATTAAGGGTAGAGAGGGGAGGGGTACCTTGAGACCTTGAAGCTGATGAAAGGTTCTTGATCCAAGGTATTGAAGCTGTCCATCACTCTCAAACCAAACCTGATTGCCTTCCATTCTCTAGTTGCTGTTTAGCCCCTACTGATTTATTGTTTCCCTGAGAATATACTACTGCTACCGCTATTACTGCTACTATTACTACTACTACTATTGCTACTTCTGTTATTACTACTGCTGCTACTACCAATACTATTACCAAAACTAGCACTAATAATAATAATTAATCCCAACAGGAGCAGTACGACTTCCTGCACACGGCTGGAGCCTCCTTCCTGGCTTCCTTCAGAGAGTATGGCAACTTTAACTAACTACTACCTTGCCACTAGTCAACTATCCTAATAATCACAAGTGCACAGGGTATCACTGACTTACAGTACCATGTCAACCTCCGCCAGTCATGATTCTGGCCTTGGCACACTAGCATGCTACACCAGCCAGACACACTAGCATGCTACACTAGCATGCCACACTAGCATGCTACACAAGCATGCCACACCAGCATGCTACACTAGCATGCCACACTAGCATGCCACACTAGCATGCCACACCAGCATGTCACAATAGCATGCCACACTAGCATGCCACACTAGCATGCTACACTAGCATGCTACACTAGCATGCCACACTAGCATGCTACACTAGCATGTCACAATAGCATGCCACACTAGCATGCCACACCAGCATGTCACAATAGCATGTCACACTAGCATGCTACACCAGCCTGCCACACCTCAACCACTGCCACCTTCAACGGACCATGGCTACTTAGCTGACCAATCTAAGCCGTTCCAAACAACTTAAGAAACTTATGTAATATGATATGAATATAAAACACTTGTTCTAATAATTTACATCTACTTGTCAACAATAAGCTGTTATCTGGAGGTCCATATGATAAGTCACGTTTCATATAAATTTTATTTGGTAAGAATATCTACCTGACATATACTCACTTCAGATGTAGTGCCATATTCTTAAACTTAAGTGTAAGTTGCAACATCCTGAAACTTTAATCTACTACGGAACGATGTATGATGTCTCAAAGATTGTCTTCCCTAAGAAAAAAAAATTAGGTTGTGGGAAAAGGGACTTTTCTTTATTAAGAGTGAGAAAAGGGGCCCAAAAATAAAAACCAAAAAAAGCAAAACAATCCGTGAGGGAAAACGAAAACCCCAAATAACCCCACATAAAAGAGAGAAAGTTTTGTTTTTGTAAAGGGGTCCAAGTCGGCCCAAAAACGTCGTGTAAGTTCTCTTTTTATTGCGGGGCCATTTGTGTTAGTTTTTTCCAATATTGGCAGATTTAGAGGTCCAGGGGCCCTGCAGTTCAACATTCATGGGGGGCCCCCCCTTGTTGCGCTGTTCACCAGTGGAAAAATTAAATTTTGTATGACTGCCACTGGTCCGCTGCCTGTATGTTGTTTTTTAAACCTTTTTTTTTAAAAAAAGCGGTATCAAAATAAATATGAAAAGGGTTTTTAAAAAATGAGTTTGGAGTTCGGGTTGGGTTTAAAAGGTAAGTTTTCGTCAGGAAATTTAAAAAAAGTTTTTTTCTGAACTCGGGTTTAAATTATTACCCCCCCACCTGGAGCTTTTGGTTTTTTGAAACCGAACCCTTTCCAAATGGCTTACCCATCCCCCCCTTTTAAAAATTTAAAACATTTTTTTTTGATTTTCTTGGATTTCAGAATCAAAAGTGTGTTAAATTTTGTAAAAAAAATATTTTTTTGTGGCAGGGATCCTCAGGCAACCATTTTTTTGGTAAAATTTTTACAGATAGGAGCATAACTCGAAAAAGGGTTTTAAGGAAAAGCGTTAATGATTTGGGTCTTTAAAACTGCCAAAAAAATTTTTGTTAAATTGGGTAAACCCGCCACTCCCAAAATTAAGGGTTTTGTTCTGAAAATGATGTCTATCATAACCGGAAACAGCTGAAAAACTTGGGACGTATTTTTTTAAGACATTCCCGGGCCCCATGTTCACCTAGCAGTAAAAAAAGGTCCCGGGGTGCTAGTGGACTGGAAAAAGGGTTGCATCCGGGACAAAATTGTCCTTTTTTTTGCCCCGAAATGCTCTGTATAATAAGTGGTTTTCTAAATTTTAGTATATGCCCTTGGGTTTGTCAGTTTAGGCCTTTTTTCCTTGGAAATTTATTGAAAACCAAAAAAATTCCACCAAACCGGATTAAATTTTGTAAATAAGTTGATGCGGCACGTAGGAACCCTTAACAGCCAACCAAAAAAAAATTACTAGTTTGGGAGACTTTTTAAGATAAATATGCTAATTAAAAGTTTCTGCTCTTTTATGACTTTGTAGGTTTAGAGCTTTTTTTTTGTTTTTAAAATTAATAAAATTTTAAAAAGTTTTCTTTCCCGAAAAACCAAAATTTGGAAAAAATATTTTAAGAAAATTTAATACATATTAGGATTAATTTTCCGTATTCATTTCCGTTTGGCCTGACCCGATTGGGGCGGTTTTTGTCTGCACCCCCTGCTGTTTTTTGGCGAGCCCCCTTGCCCAGTTACCTGGCTGAAGGGGGTTGTGAGGGGGTTCCCTGTCACGCCCTTTTGAAAAAACCCATAGGTGCATGTGATTGTCTAGATGGGGGGTTAGTTGAGAGGGCCGGGAAAAATTTATGGGGCATTGAGCTTAATTTTTTAAAGGGTTTGAAAAACGCCTATTTTCGCGCAAGTCTTATTGCCAAAGATCACCCGGGGGAGAATAGGGCATACAAGATAGTGACTTGTATGGTGTCCATTAAACGGGGGCCAAAAAGAATTTTCGTCAAACTGCTATCAGTTTCGGTTTTTGGGAATTTCTTTTAGTTCACCGGGTTTTCGGAAAGTAAGTTTTTAAGCGCCAAAACCAGCTTTCAAGGTAAAATGAAAGATGTTTCACGGCATTATACGGGGATCAAGTTACGAAAACGTTCCCTTTGGGCGGCCCAAGGGGGATAAAAGGAAAGTTTTTGAGACATAGGGGAACGGGTCCCATTTTTTTTTAACCTGGCCATGGGGGCGGTGCCTTGCGGTTTTTCCGGGGGTTTCCTTTAACCCTAAAAAGGGGACGTTTGGGCACCCAAAACCCTTTCCTATGGTATTTTCAAGTTTTCGGGACGCAGGAAATTGAAAATTTAAAAACCCGGCCCAAACCAAAGTAAATGCCGCCTTTGGGTTTGGTAGGGATCACAAAAGCGGCGACCGGGTGCAAGCGAAAAAACCGTGGCCGGACCTGTGGTGGACGTCGCAGCCCGTTTTCAAAGGGGGCAGGTGAGAAACAAACGGGGGAAATGGGGGGCCGTGGTTTTTTGTGGGGCGGATAGGGGAAACCTTGGGGAAACCCGGGAAATGGGGGGTAAATTTGGGTCCCTCCCCCAGTGCCTGACAGGTATCGTCCCCTTTGTGGATAAGGGGAGAAAGAAATTTAAAGGAAAAGGTTCTTGGATTGGGGGAGGAATTGGTGGGGGGTTTTTGAAGACTTGTCACCCCCAAAGAGAGGGACGTTACTTCTTCGGGGTGCATCAAAGTCGTCGCTTCCAGAAAGCGGAAAACATGAAAAATTTGGGACGGGGAGGGTTTTTTGGGTTTTTGGGCCCCTTAAATCCTTTAAAAACCATTTCATTGGGGGTGGGGTTCATCGAGAGACAAAACTGCCCAAGACATTGAAACATGCCGCCCACTAGAAAGAGGGGGGGGGCTACATCAGTTTCTATGAGTCCTTACCCCCTGCAAAAAGGGCCTGGGAAACGGGATTTTGGGAGGTGAAGTGTAAAGGGGTAGGGGTTTGTAGGGGGTGGTAGCCATGAAAAGGGGGCCCCCCAGAAAAAAGGGGGGGGGGGAAAAAAGAGACCCACTCGGGAAAGGTTTCAAACTTAAATTAAAAAATCGGGAAATTTGGGTAAAGAGGATGGGGGAAAGCGGGGGCCCTATAGGTGTATGTCTGTAAATTTTTAAAAGGGTTTTGTAGAGGTATTGAGGGGAGATTGGTTTGAAATTTCCTGAAAAATCTAGAGTGGTTTTGTTTCCTGCAGGAGCAAAATTTTAAAAGGGTAGGGTGTTGGAGGTGGGGGAAATTTCGAGTATTTTAACCCCCCAATCCCCCCGTCTAAAAGGGGGTGGGGGAAATTTTTTAATAAGGGAGGGAACGAGCCCATTTTTTTTTGCGAGAACCCGGGAGGGGGGGGGGGAAGGAGGGGGGTTGCGTGGGAGGGGTGGTGGAGGGGTAAGCGTGTTTTCTTTTGTGAGTGTGTATGCGGGCAGAAATTTTAACTTTAAAGGTAAAGAATGTTTTTTGTGTGTGAGGATCTTGTGTTTTTCTTAAGTGCACTGGCCAAGGGGCGATAGTTGGGGGGGACGGAATAGTGAAATCGGGAGGGCTGATTCGCCCCAAAAAAGGGGCTGGATGTATGTCGTGGCCCCTTAGAGATTTTTTTAAAGGGGAAGTTAGGTTTAGTGATCCCTTTGGGGGGGCGGTGTGGGAAAATAAAATATACGTTTGTTGGAGGGGTTTTAAAATTTTGCTGCGAGACTAGTTTGTGTACCTTTCTCGGGGAGTGGATGTGAAATCTTTCAGAAACTTTTGAGGCTACAATGTAGATCAAGGGCAGTGGTGGGGGGGTTTGGGTGGGGGACGCCCGAAAATTTTAAATAAAATTTATTGGGAAAATTAAATTAAAGTGTTAGGTGATGGGGGGGGGGGGTTGGGGGGGGTTTTTTTCCATTCCTTGGGGGGACTTAGGTGGAAGAACAGGGAGGGGAGGACATTGTGACATGGGGGGATAGTGTTGCAAAAAAAAAAAGGAATTAGAAAGTTTTTTTGTGGGGAAAAGGGAAAAAAACGTAATAATTTATTTAAAATATGGCCCTGGCAAACTTTTAAGGGGGTTTTTAAGGGGTTTTGCTAGGGGGGGGGTGGGGGTGGGAAAAATTTTTCCTAGGGATAAAATAGCTGAAATAAAGGGGAGGTTGAGGGTGTTGCCAAAAAAAAAGGTGCAGGTGGGGTTTAAGAAGTGCTTTGGGGGGGGACAAGCCGTCAGCCCTGTGTTTTGCCCCAAAAAAAAAAAAACAAAAAAAAAAAAACAAAGGCAGGCGGGGACAGTACCCATGTTTAGAGGTAACGGGGATGGTTGGAATTAAAGGGGGAGGGCCCGGAAAATACGAACCCCCGAAGGGGATGTGTGCGTTTTGGGGGCTTGGTAAAGAGAAGTACTGGAGCCGTGGGGGGGTTGGGGTGACGTTTTGGGTTTGGGCAAAGGTTTTGTACTTGTGACGTTAAAATTTTGGAAAAAGTTTATAGAAAGGTTTAGGTGGGGGCTATTACGGCAGAGGAAATAGAGAAAGCGTTTTTGGGGAAAGAAAAGGGGAAAACGCCGGGAATTGGGCGGTCCCCCCGGTTTGAAATTTTATTTTCAACATTGGGGCTTAATAGGGGATTTTTAGTTGGTTATTTAATCGTATGTAGGAGGGAAAGGGGAAGTTTGGGGGGGACGCAGGTAACAGCAGTTGTAAATGTTGGTCCCGAAAGGGCAAGGGGGGCCCGGGCCACCCTTCGGGGAGTACTGAGCCAAAAATCAAAGCTGTGTGCCGACTATTAAGGGTTTTGCAAAAATTTTTGGGGAAGGTTCCAAAAGTGTTGTGGGGGGGGTGGTTTTCAAAATTTCAGTTTGGGTTGCCGGGAAAGGGCGATGATTGAAGGCCCTGGGGTAACCCGAGAAGTTTTGTGGAAAACCCAAGGGTGGGGGTTTAAGGGGGCTTTTTTTGGCCCCTAGATTGGGGAGGGAGCATATTTAAAGAGTGGAAAGGGGGGGCTTTTGGGGGTTATACTTAGGAAGGGGCAGGGTTTTTGGGGA